ATATGCCCCTGGGGTCATTTTTTTGGTCCTAGGACTGTTTTTTTAAGAAGTACATATTCAAAGTTAGTAAAAAAAAAAACTTTAAAAAGTGAATTTTGCATAATAGGTCCCCTTTAAGATGACTTAGAAATGTTTTTAAAATTGATTGCATTATGTACAATGTCATTAAATGTTTCATGATAACAATTAGCTATACTTTGTTTAACCTGTTAGCAAGTTAAAGCTTCACTTTATCGTCTAGCCAAGCAGTTATCAAGCAAGTTAGTTATAATTTACTGCCACAATAAACAGTTAGCAAACTAGTTAGCTATACTTTACTGCCATGATAAACAGTTAGCAAGTTAGTTAGCCATACTTTATTGTCTAGCAAACAGTTTCTAGAGCTAGTTAGCTATACATTATTGTCTAGCTAAACTAGTTAGCCATACTTTGTCTAGCTAGCCAAACAGTTAGCAAGTTATTTGGCCCGATCCATCCCGATACCATGATCTGTACTGTCAGCTCATTTGCACATGCCGTCAAATGATAGACTTCTGGAATGTGCTCAGTTTAGTAAAAAATACTGAAAATAATTATTTCGATACTTGATTATAAAGGTGTGTTAATTTATATCCAGAAAACAGTTGTATACATTTTGATTAATAAAATATAGATTTACGATGTCTACATATTTATTTATAATACCTTTTATTAAAAAAAATTCTAGACAATCATGTTTTAACTCATCTTATCTTTGTTTTGTTTTTTTCCTGGAATACAAATCCACAGCTGTTGCAAACCTTGCCTTTTCTATGAAACATTGCAGCTGATGAAAGGCTAAAATTGAATGAATACTGTCATTAGTTTAGCGAAACGCTACAAGCTAAAAACAATGCTTCCAGGAGAGTACGGATCGTGCAGCCACAAAGGCTATATTGTCTAGCCAACAGTTATCAAACTAGTTAGCCATATGTTTTTTGTCTGAATACAATAACTGTAAGAAATATGAGGTAATAAAACATCTATAAAACGTTGGCATCACATAAATTCCAACTGAAACCAAATTAAGCATGTCAACATTTAAATATTAACTTTATTGTCCATAAAAGTCTACAAAATATGTGAGAAGATAAAACGTCTAGAGTATTTATTACTGAAATCCTAACTAAAACCAAATCATAAAGTTTTAATATATGATTAGCTTGCAAGCTAGCTAGCTTGTCTCAGTAATAGACTTGTTAGCTGCTATCCAATTAGAAAATCTAACTTAGGTAAAGTAGTCCAACATGAATAATTACTATATTAATGGCATTCAATATATTAAATGATGGTATTAGCTGAGCATTCACACACAGTTTTGTATATTTTTGGTGGTTATGCTTGTTTTTATAGAAACTTAAGATAAATATCAGGTTTCGGCTGTTCTACAAATCCATTTGTTCAGAAAACAGGTCCCTAAATGCTAAAATGGTTTTATTGCTTTAAAACAATATAAAATTGGGTATGGAACCAACGGTGGAACAGTTTTCTGCCGTTTCAAAGCATCCTGCTCCCTGGATAATTTAGGCCTCCCTAACATGCCCCTACATTCTTCACCCCACATACCAGCCGGCCTGAAAAAAGGCTTTTTAGAGCAGCCTTTGATGCCTGCTTTGGCAGCAGGAAGACAAATAGCTGAGCGGTGTTATCTGCTCTGGCAGCTGGGCCAGGCCACGGACTGACAGGTTCAGGCTGCTGCTGCTGGTGGTGAGAACGCCCGTCAACAACAGACTGACTGGGAGTCCCGAGTTTATGTGCCAACACATGTACGCAACCACCTTTTCTTTTTTAAGTCTATTTCCCCCGAGGCGTGTGCGTTTATAATCGAGCCCTTTTGAAATCTTTGAGCGCTGTCAGCTGCATCTGAGACTTGTGTACATGTTGGGATGATGGAAACTGGCAGCAGCAGATGGGGTCCTCTACCTGAGCCAAAGCAACAATTGTGTTTGTGCAAAAACATTTACCCTTCGAGAGCATCTCGACGTCTGAGCAAAGACTTTGTAAAAGTCACAAGTTTGAACTGAAATGTCTTTCAGCCAGGGCCGGGCAAAATCAGATCGTGCGCAATGAATTGTCTGAAAAACCATCACTGATGAAAGGGATCCATGATTATTTATAACATTAGACTTTATTTGATAAACCTATATTTTAACTGTAAAATAAAGGCTGTAAAAATACTGTAGGCTGTTTAGTTTTGTAAATTTTTAAAAATATATTTTAACACGGACGGGGCCATTTTATTTCCACACAAAGCATTCTGGGTCAATGATGACGTGGATAGGTCCTCGGTGCGAGGCTGCTAGCGAGCTATATCCGTGTCCAAAACGACAGGACGGGTC